CAAAGACGAGCTGTGGTGTCTTGACTGTGTCAGCAAATTTTGGCGTTTTTCCGGAAAAAAAGACTTCAAAGCAGCCGCTTTGAAACAGATGTCTTTAAAGGCCACTCGCCCGCCTGCGACGTAAATCTAGTTTGAGAGAATTAAGGTAGGTTGGACCACAGCCGTTGCTACTTGTCACACCTAGGAGGCAGCTGGCGGGCTCGCAAGGGGAAGATGGTGCCAAAGTTGGCTTGTTCGCTCGCGCTTGGTGGTTCTTGGAGAATCCAGCTTCAGCTCCTTCGTCAGCAGGCAAGCGCCGCAAAGTGTCTGAAAGAGGCCCTTTCGAGTCGAAAAGCGGGGTTGCCTGGGTGCAAACCTTGGCGGAATTGAGGAAGGAAGCTAGGCAAAGTCGACAGCTAGCAGTGCAGGTCATTGAAAAAGCTTTGTGCCTGCAGTGTGGCACAGCTACAGTGGAGCGCTGGCTTGGCGAAGTTGCTCAAACGGAGCTCAAGAAGAGAGCTCAGCATCTCTGCAATTGGAATTTAGAACGAGCTATCAAATTGAACTTGCAGAGTTTGAGGGGGAGACGTGTTGGGATGGCATTTCAGCCAGATGACCTTGTTGACAGGCCTGTTTCTTCGGCTAGTCGTGTTGGTGGTGGGGTTCTTTTCAAAGCTAGTCGCTATGGGTTGAGAGCTCAGCAAGTCTACAAGGATTTCTTTGGAGAAAAACCTGCTCCCAGCCGAAAGCTTGAAGGCTCCGCAGACCGATCGTCAGAGAAGCCGAAGCTGGGCAACTTGCAAACCCATGACAGCAGGAAAAGGACCTTGCAGGGGGAGCTGAAGAGCCATGCAGCTGCCGTCAAAAATGTTGTACAGGAGGCCACCTCTGCTGCATCCGCGCTTTCTTGGCAGCCCATGGTTGCTGCTGTGAAAGAAGTTGCTTTAGCCCGCTGTGAGGCAGGCAGTGGCAAACGACTTCGCTCAGCAGAAGACAGCGTACCAGGTTCATCTTCTGACCGCAAAGGGCTGTTGCCAAGCGGCCCCCTCGCTGAAATTTCGAGAGCTCAAGATCATGTGGCTGAAAAGCAGGTGGCCGTAGCAAAGACCACGCCTCCCGGCGGCTGTGTGCCGTATGTGGACCCGAAAGGTGGTGTTTTTCTATACAAATTGCCTGCCCCAGCACCTACTGCTAGTTTAGCCAAGCCCTTGCCAGAGTCCATCCAAATCTTTCCGGCAAATGAAGCAGTGCGCGTTCCGCACTGGAGGCGCTTCTCTCGCTCGACCAAAGTTGCCGCCTCGGATGTAGTGCTGTGTGAAGACATTCGCTCGGATTTTTTTGCTGCTGGCAGCCTGCTGGCACGTTTGTGGGGAAAGCGACTTGCAGACAAGCAATGGTGCATGACTAAGACAAAAGGTGGTACCTGCATTGCATTCTCCCCGGCTTTGCAGTTCCACCTTCACCTGTACTTGCACGAGTCTTTTGCCATTGCCCACCCAGAGTTGCAGACGGTGTTGCTTGATGCAGTGTCTTCATTCGCTGGCGCAAATGCTCGCCAGCGCCTGCATGCACACTTAGAAGAGTTCCCAGCAAAGCCAGCTTTTCCACGACTTTCGTACCAAATAGTTTCGCAGCCACACCTGGAGAGAGTTCAGGTGGAAGGAGGCAAGACTAGCCATTTGCTGAATGTGGAGAGACTGTTCTCTCGCTTGAGCGAAGTCCAGCGGACTTCCTGACATGGGATGTTCAGCTGCGGGGGTGACGCAGCGATTGTGCTAGCTAGGTGAAAAAGACAACTTGTGCTGCGTGCTGGTTCTAGGTTGGTGTGCGCCTTTTCGGGTGTGAATTTCTGCGGTTGACAGCGCCTAGCGGCCCAGCGCCGCCGATCATTTAGCCCACAGCTTTGATGTGTGAGTTCCAGGCAACGAGCGTGTGGTCGAGCATAGAGGTACAGCTGCCCTTTCAGCTCGCGCTGACTTTGCGACTTACTTAAACGTGTCAGTTCTCACAAAGAAATTCTTTTCCCTGAGAGTTGACACTCCTAGAGTCTTCTAGTGCCACCTTCTATTGTTTCAGTTCTGACAGATGTATTTTGCATTGCCGCCGTGTGCGACGAATATAGACTGTTATCGGCAGACATGAAACATGTTGAGAGACTCCTTTGAGCTTAGTGTTGCTCTTTCCTTCGTTTGTTTTTTTTGCCGTCGCCGAGCCAACCCAACAAAACCTGGACCTAAAACAAACAGACCAAGACACGTTCCATGTCTAGGCTAGCGAAGCCTTGAAAGTGATAGCCTGCGAAATCTGCACTTAGTTTGCGCTGCGATGTAGCTGAGACGTCTAAGTTCGGCGAATGTTCGACCAATGTTCGGCGAGTGTTCTTCGGTTCTGCCGCCACGCATTTTGTTTTCCACAAGCTTGCCGGATTTAGATGGGAAACAAATTCATACCTTGAAATTCATGCACATGCCCCGCTTGGGCGCCCGTGCTGGCTGAGCTGGTGGGAGAACAATTGAATTAATACATTCCAAGTTAGGTCTTGGTGCTACTTTCTGAGAGAAAAGCCCCTATATAAAATCCACTTGGTGTCCTGGTTTCTTATGTTTTTGGAAGAAGCGGGCGTGCCAGTCGCAAGCCACTTTCAATCAGAATTGGAGGTTTGCTGTTATTTGCGCAAGGGCAAGGCCCTGTGGACAATCTTCCGCCTTTGGACAAAGGTTGCCTTGAACGGGACGCGTCAAGGTGACTTTCAGAGTCTGGGGGTGAGGAGTGTGGGAGAGTGGAGGTGTTTTTTCTTCTGAAGTTAGGTTGCGCTAAGCTTTTATAGGAACCCCAAGCCCACAAAAGGTTAAACCTTTAGGTAGGAAGCAAAGGCCAGCCAAGATCCTTCTTGAAATTTTACCCCTGCGTTGCCCACAAAAGGGTGAGTCAAGTTGGAATGACCGCTTCCTTCTCTAAATTTTACCCCTGCATTGCCCACACAAAGGGGTGAGTCAAGTTGAAATGGCAACATCCCTCTCTAAATTTTACCCCTACATGGCCCACCAAAGGGTGACTCAACTTGGAAGGGCAACATCCTTCTCTAAATTTCCACCCCTGCATGGCCCACAAAAGGGTGAGTCAAGTTGGAAGGGCCACTTCCTTCTTTAAATTTTACCACTGCCTTGCCCACAGAAGGGTGAGTCAAGTTGAAATGGCAACATCCTTCTTTAAATTTTACCCCTGCATTGCCCACAAAAGGGTGACAAAGGGGTAAGTCAAGTTGAAATGGCAACCTCCTTTTCTAAATTTTACTCCTGCATGGCCCACCAAAGGGTGAGTCAACTTGGGCAACATCCTTCTCTAAATTTTACCCCTGCATGGCCCACAAAAGGGTGAGTGAAGTTGGAAGGGCCACTTCCTTGTCTAAATTTTTCCACTGCATTGCCCACACATCTTTGTTTCCCATGCATTGGCTGTGCTGCTGTGTGTCCTGTCCCCATGTTAATGGGTGCATGAAGAAGAAACACATACATACGACTTGTTCCCAAGATAGCTGCTAGCCTTGTGCATGTGGACGTTTGGTGGTGACCGCCCCCGGCCCGACAACCGGCGCCAACAGCCCCAGCATCCAGCAATGCTCCCCGATCCCAAGGTCGACCGGTCAGCGGTCACCCGCCACTGGCCACCGCTCACGGGCCTGCCACCGGTGACGCGGGTCGCTCGCCGCCGGCCACGGTCAGTCACCGGTCACCGCCCAAGGTCACCCGTCACCGGACCGTTCATCGGTCTTGTCACCGGTCCGGTCCGGTCACACCGGCCCGGTCGCCCGTCTTCGGCCCGGTTGGTCACGGGTCCGGTCCCCGGCCCGGTCACCGGTCTCCGGCCCGGTCACTGGTCCGTCTCCGTTCCGGTCTCCTTTCCGGTCTCCCGCCCGGTCTCCGGCCCGCCGGTCCGGTCAACGGCCCGGCCCGGTCCCGGCCCGGTCACCGGTCCGGTCACCGGCCCGGTCACGGTCCGGTCTCCGGTCTGGTCTCCGGCCCGGTCACCGGTCACCTACAAAAAAAGTATATACTTGTACTAGAAGTCCATAGAAGCGAGAATTGGGCATCATTGCCAGTCCAAACTGGGACCCTGGTACAGGTGATTGGTGGGGGTTGGACCCGTGGTATCGAGCCGATTTACACGAGCGTGATTGAAGGGTCAGGCTTCGTTCGGATCCATCGGGAGGCTTCTAAAACTGTATTCACTGTGCCCACTTGGGTCCTCTCGCATCATTGTTCTGCAAGAGAAAAGCAAAGGATTGGTTTTCATTCCCCAAACAGTTTACTGGCGGGGTTCTCTCTTAGTAAAGAAGACGCTGTCCTCTTCTGGTCCTCTGGCGCTCGCGGATCCTGTGTCCGTTTTGTCCTCTTGGTGTTCTCTTGCTGCCCTGCCCTCTGGCTGCACTGTGTCCTCCCCTTCTTTCCCCAAACAGTTTAGTGGGCCTGTTTGGGTCTGTGTCCGGCTTGGCCACGCCGTAGGCCCTCCGTTGTCCTCGTCCAGGTCTGTTGGACGCGCCAGTGCCGTGAGCCTTTCTTCTCCACCTGGAGCTTTGTCCAGGCCTTGTCCGGGTCTGTCCTGCTGGTCCGCGCTGTCGGCCCTTTATCACCGCCTTGTCCGGGTATCTTTTTCGGTGCGGCTATGAATGCGATGCAGCGTTTGATATCATCCTATAGGTTGTTCTCACGACGACTCATATGAATCATCCCTTCGTGTTTACACATGTGACCTCGGGAATCAGGAACTATTGTTGCTTTCTAACATACCACGCCATTTCCAATACAATGTTACCATCAACATTGGTTGGGTCTGTCCTATTACCTGTAACAGTAAAACAATTATAATATTTTTTGGACAAGGCCTTAGGCCTTGATTAACCATCATCATCAACTGTTACCGGTAGTGGGATAGACCGACCCAAAACATTGGCAACGATGCTGAAACTATTTGAGGCCTATGCTGGCATAATTCGTTTGCAATGATCTCACGTGCAACTCCAGGACCACACGCAATACATTTCCTTCAATTCGCCGGATGCCCCGGCTTACCTTCCAGCATGAGCAGTGTGGGTGACGGCGTTGACGAGATGCTTTCAATGGTTAGCCTTAAAACTCTTGGGGCAGTGGTTCTCGCACCAAACATGAACAGATAGAGAAAGGTTGACAATTTTTTGGGAAAGTGTTGTTCAGCTGATAAGCATCCGCTCACAGTCAATTCAGGATGAATACTATTCACCTCCCAGGATGGAGATCTTCACAGTTATATATAACTTATAACAGTGGCCAAAACAATCAACCCTGACCGCCTTCAGATCAGCGATCAGATCAGCGATCCATTGAAGGTCAAGACTTTGCATTTGTGATGATGTGCCCCAAAGAAGAAACACACACACACACATGTGAATCTCCGTTGTCCGGGTCAGTGCCACCTGTTTCGCCCAGGTTTAAATCGCTGCTTTTCGATGGCTCTGCGCAAATGGCCGGGCTCGCCCAGATGGTGCACGGTGACGAGCTGGTGTGTTTGTCCTTCCGGTGCAGGAGATGTTGAGTCATGTCTTACGGCACATGCATGGCTGTCAATATAAGCATGATTCAATTGAATCTGCGGTCTGCTTTTGTTTGCATTTCGGAGTTCAGACAACACAGGATTTGTCAACTAGGAGATGTTCAAGAGATGTTTGGGTCAAGCTGTGGTGCATGTTTGGTATTGAGGCAAGTGGAGGGTGGCTTCTCATGCCCGCAGCCATATTTCGCCTCAATAGTTGAGCCAAGATGGCTGGACGAAGTCTAAGACGAGAAATCAACAAGGTCTGGTATTGAGAGTGGTGTCCGAATTCCTTGGTTACTTCACCAAGAAACAAGTTTGGAAAGTCTCATCACCGCACGAATACTCTTGGTACGCCTGGAGCGGTACGCCTGGAGCCCCCTTGGTTTTGGACTATTCGTTCAGATGCTTAGGGCCCGCAGGGCCAAAGCCTTCAGATGCTTGGCAGCCCAAATAGTCAACAAACAGCACAAAAAGACACAAAGTCATAAAACATCTACCAGGACCGTCAGGACCCTCCTGTCGGGGTGTCCAATGAACTACCCCACACTACCTATAGGCTTCCAGACAGGGCACCCCTTGGAGGGCCCTGGTATGATGATTGTTATGTTTCTTTTCTATTTCTTCTATGTTCTTCTTCTCCTCAGCCTCAAACCCCATGGGTACCACACCTTCGGCGCTGCCCGCGGTCAATGCTGATTCGCGCCGGGGGTCCAGCATCATTTGGCAGAATGAGAGCGGAGCGCTGAAGCTTCGTTTCAACGTGGTGTGGACAGCGGTGAAAGGTACTGCATGGAGCCCAACGACCTCCCGGATAAAGGTGTTGTTTAGGACGTATACTTGAAAGGGTCGTTTGGCTCCTTAAAGGTATTAGGACGTTTGCACTTCTTAACGGCGTTTTTCCTTGCAGGGTCCCTTGACATCCTCCTTTTTTTGTTTGTTGTGTTTGTTTTTTTACTTTTGCCTTGCTACTATAGAAGTTTTTTGCTACTTAGTAGCAAGGCACCTTGTTACTTGTAGCGATGCACTTCTTACGTTCGTAGCTTCTTGCTGTGAGGGAAGTGGTTTGGATCCTCTGGGGCCTTGGGAAGTGTCACAAAGCACTGGACTCACTGGACACGTCCGAACAACTGGTGAAGTGTTTCTGTGTGGGCTGCAGCGCATGACACCATTGGTATTAAACGTATTAAACCAACAGCGCTCTAAAGTAGTGCTAGTCTTTAAGAACTATGTGGTACCTGGTGGGTTGCGAGTGACCCAATGGAGGGAAGTTTGGTGTGACTGTGTGGTGAACTCAAAGTTGGTTCAACCGCAAGCTGAAAGATGATATGAAAGGACATGTGAGTCTTCCTTTTCACAAGCGGATGCCCCCGTCCAGCGAGGAGGATTCAATCCTTTGGCCCTGCAGATGGAAGAACGATCGTGGCCTTGCACGGAGCGGGGGTGGAGCGGTCGTGTTTTCACGAAGGGGGAACGGTGAAACGGTGGGTCGTGAAATCGCTGGAGTGGCTCGGAAGCTGGAGACGGAAGTGGGAAGATGCTGGTGAAGAGAACCAAGTGGTCTTCCAATGTTGCACTTCTGATTTTGCTTGTTTGGGAGTGTGAATTGGGATGTTTGCCTTTACAGTGGCGCGCTTGCGCGGTGCTTTGTTCGCTTGCATCGATCCAACGTCCAACAGTTGTTTGTGTTGTTGACTCTGGTTTCGTCGATCGATGTGGTGGATCTTGCGCACCAAGCTCTTCAAATACACAAGCGTGCGATGATCATACATTGCTTGTCACGCAACTCCTCCACCAGAAATCCTGGGAAGGTATTTGGGGATGGGGTCAAGGGTCTTGAGTCAAAGGTGCATTTAGTTTGCACCCTCTTTGATGTTCCATCACAAGTTTCATCCTTAGGGTGAGTCGATTTCATGCATATTGACTGGGGATTTCAAAGCAGATGACCAAGCAGGGAGAAAACAACACTGTGGACAGCCCTGGAGTTTGTTTGAACCGCTCCGTTTGGAGGGGCAGGGGAGCACCACTTACCCTACTTCAGACAACCCATGGAAGCTGAGCAGGCTCCACTTGTAGATGATTTGCCAGGGGCCGAACTGTGCCACTTCTGTTTCAGGGAGTGTAGACTTGCCGACAGCGAACAACCGCCCCACGACCGCTGGTTATGTTCGAAGAGTCCGTTGCGAAAGAGTCCGACAGAGTGTAGACGAAGTGGAAGAGATGGGATTTGGATCCCACCGACGCGGGCTCGCAGGACTGTCCTCGGCGGAGTTCATTATCCGGGAGTGGGACACATGTGCTGAAGCCTGTGTCAAGGCGAGGAGTCCATAACCAGTCCTTAGGGAGCGTGGAAGAAGCTTAGGCTTTTTCGGATCTCAGTATGAGAGGAGCCTCCAATGGAATTCATGTACTCGAATTGCACTCTTTCGTCAGGGATATTAGGGCCACTCCCAATGAGACACATCACTTTGATTGGAGGCTTCGCGTTTGGTTTGGTTATCAGAACAAGGAGTTCAGGGCATTTGAGGACATGTCAAAGAAGCCGACCTTGTTCGTGCTAAATTTGAGCAAACAGCAAAAAGGTTGTTTCAAACATCATGATGAGTGATCCAAATCCTTATAGAGGTTCTCACAATAATCCAGACGTCTTCCTTAATTGTTCTTTGGTTTGCAAGTCAAAGTCAATGATCGCACCGTCGCGCCCCTGATATGCAATGCATATTCTTTCTGTACCCCATGCCCCAGAAGAGTTATTGGTTTCTTCCCTTAAACCGTTGAAATGATTATAGGATTCAGGGGAACAGGCAAGTCGTCTATTATACTTGCGAAGCAAAATCAGAAAAGGCTCAACACATTCCCAGTCCCATCCATGGGACTGGCATAGTCTTCCATCGTTTGGGATTGGATTTTGGGACGAGTTTATTCCAGTTTCATGAATGGGATTGCTTAACGAGGTGGGACATTGCTTCACTTCTTTCTTGCCGAGGTGGGCTTCCGCGTCCTCCTGCCAAACCTCCACTCGAACCCTGCAACTGCCCCGAGCTTGCTGCGCACCACAGCGACTCACGGCGGGACGGTTGGTTCGCGGTGGCTTTGACACGGCAGTGGGTCAAAACATGTCGCACCTCATCGGCTGTGACATACAATCTGTTAATCATGTTTCGTTTCTGTATGAAGGTGTTTGCCCCAAACACTCATGTGACAAGATGTTTTTTGTCACTGTAAGAGCAAGGCCGACTTGCATAGCATTTTCAAGGTATTTTTTTTGACACGCATTGACATTGAGAGGGTTTGTTCGAACTTTGGAGCAGCCTCACCCAGTGCCTCAGCCTTATGCAAATGCGGACGATGTTCATGTGGAGTTTTGCTGTACATGTCTTCCCCTGAACTAATTACCCTTACATTGATTTCAATCAGCTACTACTTGGACCATCCAAAGTAACCAAGATAATGACTCAGAATGACGTGTTTGACCTCAAAGTCGAAGGTGCTTGGGCACAATGCCAATGCTCAGTGGGTACAAACTGTACAAATTCAAACAGTTGCCTTTCCCACCATATCCATCGCAACAGCTGTAGCCAAAGGATCGAGCCGGTCTTGGAGCAGTTGATCACACAGGAGATGCTTGGAGAGCGCAACACACTGCCATTGCGGTTCCCAACGATGCACTCAAAAAATCTCAAGACAAAAGGCAGCCACTTTGCTTCGTGTGCTTAATAGACATCCAGCTTGATACTTTGTTCAAAGGCACTTGAGGTCATAGCCATTACGTACACTCGGAGCATGCCAAGCCGGGCACGTGTAGGAGTTTTTGCTGTGAATCTCGCCCGACCGAAGAAACAACTGCCTGATTGCAGGTTTTGCTTTCAACGATCCCCTGAACTGTTTGAGTGTTTTGAGACATGTACAAATCGGGTGAAGGCTGCAACAATCTGAGGGACATCATTTGATTTTCCGTTTTTTACTCTACCAGAGATCGTTTGCCAACAGAAACATCATAGAACGGATTAGCAGCTAGTCCATGTCCACCCAAGGATTGTTCATACATCCTTGCGGAGTGAATCCAGCCAAATTGCCTGATCCAGTTAGATCCCGCGCCCCAGAAATGGTCCGGTGATCCTCATGGGCAAGAGTTACGGTGGCGCAGTGGCCGCTGCCTTTGCCTCGAAGCATCCTCAATTGGTGCAGAAGTTGGTGCTGGCGTGTCCTGCACAGGCGAAGCCAATGGTCGCACAGGCCTGTGAGTGGTCGTGGGCGAAGCCAACGGGTCGTCAATCCGCCCGAGCCGCTTGATGGGGCTTTGGCCTCAGCACCTGAAGCATGTGTTTATATCACCTTCATCACATCCCAGTTTGGATGGTCTTTTAGACCAGGAGGCCCAGTAGGCACCCGTTGCATGGAGTTACTCCTTCGATAGTCACAAAGCATCATTTCTCATAGCTAGACTGAGTGTCAGCTTGAGGGTTGATTCCCTGGTGGATTGTAGCTTTGTAAATGGATCTGGGTGATCTCGCCCCAAATCAGCCGATGAACCAGAGCCCCTGTGCAAAGACGCCTGTTTCAAACCAGGAGCTGACTATGCCAGTGCTGCTGCTTTGGGCCAAAGATGATTGGATCACCTGGTTTTCAGGTGCAAAGGTCTACCAGGAGAATTGCCCTCAACTAACCTTTCATTCCGCGGACTCCGGTGGGCATCGTATCCTTCAGGCTGCTTGGTCACCAGTTCAGGATACTATACACTCATTTTGTGAAACCCTGAGCTGAGCCTGAACTACCCGACGGTTGATATCCGTGAGATACCACGGCAGTGCCGAAAACGATCGGAGGAAAGAGACACGGAACCAGTTGCCCCAAAAGAGAAAGAGACGTAGAACAGACACGGAGGGCTCGGAAAGAAGTTCTCATATTATGAGTAACCACTTTGATTTGGTCTTGACTAAAGTAGTCTACAGCATTCTCATGCTGCATTCTCTATTTGTGTCCAACATCAGTACTCACTGATAAACGAGATAGGGCCCCCACATAAACGATATATTTTCCAATGACACTAAAGTAAGTACTAAAGTCGTCTGAGCGAGATACCGTGACATAACCTTCTACTGAAGTAGGTTAAATGGTATAGGGCCCTCACATACTAGATATTATTTGAGTTTAGTATCAAATAAATGCCGCCGCTCATATATATATATATATATAGCAGAAAGAATGTGATTATTGAGTGTGTACTGCAAGACCTGTTTTGCAGCTTAGTGACCTTGTTGTGATCAGGATGCCACAGAGTGAACCTGCATGTTTTGTCGTTTTTGCACCTTCCTCAAGCGCGGCCCTAATCAAGATAACCACCAGGTCTAGACCCTGGCGATGTGGCCATGGGTGAGAGGTGGCCGGCCTGTGTCCATGGATTTGGGGACGATTTTGGCGCCGGAGGAGTGCACTGAATCAACACATCATGTCTAGAGAAACAGATCGACAGGGAAATCGCCCCAGAAACCACCCACACACTTGGCATCCAACCTTATGACTCCATGCTCTTGGTTTCCGATCACCAAGGAATACTTGGACCCAATACTGCGCTTCATCCGGGAGTAAAAAGGTCCGGTGATGGCAGGTGGAGATGACCAGACGGACCGTGGCATCTAGATGTTCTTTTTGGAAAGGGGTAGGGACCTAGGGACCTGGCTTGGGGACGGTACAACTCCAACTGCAGCATCCGCATCCACCTTGGGCATCGGACCCGATTGAAAAGTGTCGACAGGTCGGACGAACCCATGGGGCTAGCAGTTGCTCCCCCAATTCAACGGGTTTTGAATGCTTTGTAAACCTGTTCCTGCGATGCCATGCCTATGTCCGTTATTTCCGGGCTCTTGACCAGCTTCCTTGCGTGGATAACCTTTGACCTTTTTGGGGATTGGTTGCCCCACTAAACTAACTAGAATAGGGGGAAAAAGGTCAGCCTTTGTTGTTCCAGGGAAGCTGAGGGGGGTCAGAAGGGTGTATATACATCACTCATATCATCACTCCTTGATTGTTGTGTTGCACGCTTCATGACATGCCCATGCTTGTTGCTTCACACGTGCTTTCCTTGCGTTCAGAACGGGCGTCCGTCACTCGTCACGAGACCGCGTCGAGGTCGCGGAGAAGGGCCGCGGAGCGAAGCTGATTTGGTCCAAATTCCTTTCGTCGGGTCACCCGTCACTGTGTCACTCTCGCGAGCAGACGGGGACTCGGGCAGCAGACCGGTCGTTTTCGACGTGTTTGGAGGGCATCAGTGTGTCGACTTGGGTTTTTGCATCATGAATGTATTGAAGCTTCGGGGTTGGCCTTGATCGTTGTGTATTGTTGTCACTGCTGGTACTGCTGTCATCATGTCATTCCCGATGCTGCTATTGTTGTTGCTGGTGTCGTTGCTGTGAGGGAAAATCCGTTAAACAAATCAAAACAAACAAACAAACACAAAAGCATGCAGACGCGTGGAGACAGGTATCCAGTCTCAGTGTGTCATTGACCTTTAATCACGATGGGTTCAGAGCCCCGACTAGGCACTGCATGGATCCCCATCAAAACAGAGTCCATGGTGGGGGCGAGGTTGTCCCATCTACTGTGAACTATGGAACAACCCTCCCCACGCCAATGATTTGGATGACACAGTCGATGGGACACATGACCATTAAGACCAAATACATGAGGTCACCGTGTCCCATGCGGGTGCTTCACCGGTCGAACCGACCGGAGGCATCAAACGGCCATCGCCGGCCATCAGCGCACACACGTTTAAACGTTTGAGAGAAAGAGGCGTCTCATTCTGTGGGGGATCACTATATGAGCTTTGGTTCACCCATCTGACATGAACACAATGCTTCTTGCTACTAGTAGCAAGAATGCTACTAGTAGTAATGCCAGGAGCCCCTAATAGTGTCCTTGCTCCTAGTAGTAAGGCCAGGAGCCCCTTGTAGTTTCTTGTTACTATTAGCAAGAATGCTACCCTTTGTTACTAGTAGCGATGCTCTTGCTCCTAGTACTGTAGCTTCTTGGATCATTTGTGGGAAGTCCGCCTGCGAAGAAAGATTGGGTTTCTAAGCCTTTGTCAGAATGTGCGTCAGTAAGAGGGAATTTTGATCAACCACCACATCCATGTCACTTGTGATGCATTTGAACTACGCATATTACCAGGTTTCGGCTCTCCTCAAAAGTTCTGCATGCAACCCCCCAAACAAACACTAAACTGCCCCAAGCACCCCAACATACCCCAACCAAATGGTTGAAAGTGGTTGAGAATCCTTCAAGAGCCACTTTTTTCTGTTACGGAAGTATGAGTCTTCAGAATGATGCATGGCTTCAACCAGGTTCTACTCTATGCATGTTTGTGATGGTTGTGTTTTTCCTGATTGAGACAACATTTCCTATGTCTCATTGCTCTCGGCCAGGTGGATGATGCCTTCAACCGCCCGCTCTGACCGTTGACGGGTCCAAGCTCGGGCGCGGTGCGGCTCGTGGGTCAGGGAAGAGCTAAAAAAGAAAAGGTGAAAGAAGGTGAAAGGGATCCACAGAATTCCACATATTTTCCGAAGACCTTCACATCGTTTCTACATATGGTTGGATGGTTTCAGATGAAAGACTGACGGATCGTCTGATAAGGTCCAACGAAGTTCAATCGAAAGGTCCAACATGCACATGGACCTTTTAAACAGTGGAGGGAGGCATTACAGAAACACAAAATGGTCACTGAACATGCCACCCTGAAAGACCTCACCCAAAGTGTTTCTTTTTTGAGGGGAGGGTGGGCAGGGTGGTGGTTGCACCCTATAGGGTGAACGTGGCAAATTGTAGTATGATGGTGGACTCTCTAATCCATCTACTGTAATCTACACGGAAGGTAGGCACATATATATATATATATATTCCGGAGATCTTCAAACATCAACCGTCCATCTATTGTGTTTAAGATTTGTATTTTATTCCATTTCCATCTATATGGAAAGTACGGAGTATTATAGCATTACTGTAAATGTCAGAAACAAAGGAATGTTTGGACCACAAAGAAGCGCCAGACGATGGACGATCCATCGGAATGTGTTTCTATCCAGCTTTATCCAGCGAGGCTGGATGAATGGGAGCTGACCCACAGCACCGAGCCTCGTCGCGCTTGGTGGATTTGCTATTTGGCGATTTGGGTGCAGAAGGTGTTTTGAAGTGATTGTATTCGAATGTAATTGACATAAGTGCTGAAGTGAATTTTCGTGGCATGTGGAAGACATGACGCATGAGTAGCATGTTTCAGAGATTAGCCGTTTGAACTCCAGATTCGGTGTAAGTCCACTGTGAGTTCAACAGTGTGTTGGCGGATCCTCTTCCAGGATCCTTTAAAATTTAAGACTGTAGGTGAACTACTCGGGCCTGATAGAAGTTTTGGATATTGGAGTGATATTGGAGGGACTCTGGAGGACCAAGCATTCTGGAGTAGCTGTGTACGGTGGTACAGGCTATAAGCAGCCTTCGTGCGAGGCGTGTCCGAGGCAAGATTCCAAACCAAGTACAATCCATCCTTTGGAAGAAGATTCGATCATGTCGATCAATTCATGAAAGTCGCTATGAAATTCCGCTAGATATATTCTTTTGGAGCCTTCTTCTTCCCCACCACCTCGCGACCTGGAGTCCAACTCATGAGAGGAAAACCGCGCAGAAAGTGGCCTTTCATCGGGCAGAAAGTTGCTCTGCAGATAGTGTAAGTTGGAGACGAACCTTGCGGGGGATCTTGGATCTGCCTATCAAGCTCAAGTGGTATCCATTGCGGAATCAGCCACCCAGGGATAGACTCAGAAAGCTAAGCAGGTTATCCAAAGATCCAAAGCTTTGTCTCTCAACGGTTCGCTGCAGGCTCGAACGAGTCGGGAGTCTTAACACAGCAAACAGTCCAGACAAAAGCATACAGTATAGATCAAGAACCAACAAAGACATCTCGCCGGGTTGACCACTGCACTGGCATTTGTGTGTTTTTGGGTTGTCAACTTGGATCAGTCTTTTGAAGAAACTATACTCAAAACCTGTGTTTCCGAGCATGTGTCGGAGCAGCTGTTTTTGTTAATGTTGTTCAACGAAAAGAGCACCATAAATATATGTGGCGCATCGAAACCCAATGTCATTCCCCGATAGCATACAAAAGCGCACTCCATGCTATATATAATCTCAAAAGGAAAATCAATGTGGAGGCTCCCCTAAGTCCGTTGATTTCTAAACATGAACCATCGAATGATCGTACCATAGACGAGAACAACAAATTAGGGAAAACACAATGGCAAGGGAATTGCAGTCCAAGTCCAAACGCGTAAAAGAGCAACTGTCAACAAGTACAGTAAGAAAGATACGTAGCAAAATTGCTATCATTTACAGTGAACATGCAAAGGTGCCAAATTTGATGCCAAGTGTGACAACATGGGACAACGTTGTCGTGCTTTGATAAGACATGCACGACTACTAGCGTGGTTGTTGACCCGCGAGCAAAAACATGTAGATGATCCAGCACGCATCAGGAGTGGGATGAAACCATCCTTTCAATCCCGTCTGTTTGCTGTGCTCCTCAAGAGACTCTCATCTTCACGTGGCTGTGGGTTAAAGGCTGGTCAACCTCCATAGTTCGCCACCTAAAAACAGAGCAACATATATGGACACACGTGTCTTGCGGCATCTGCACATCCACGACTGTTTTACTGTCCACGACTGGTCACTTCCCAGCGCCACCATGCCATGACTGGCTAATGAGTCGCCGTACAGAACCGGGGGATCCCCGCTCTCAGCGCGAGAGCGAGACTCGTGGGCCCCACCGTCGTCCGAGTTCTTCGTCCCACGGGTCCCACGGGTCGCACACGCCGAGATGGGCCGTCGTGTAAAGTGCAAAAAAAGACCTCAAAAGGGGCCAAGGGGCGCTGAGGTACTCCGTGTTGAGACGGGTTTTGGCGGTGTGTAATTTGGTTCCCTATGAATGTTTGGGCCACAGGGTTGCAATTGAAGAGTCCAAGTTCGGATGCGTAATAGGACCCAGGGACCTAGAGGTGGCCAGAGGTTCTAGTCTATGTGTCTTTTCAGTTTGGATTGTACCTTGTGGCTGTATTCGCCATGGCTAACAGCTACGCCCAGGATGACAAGCACACAGCGAGAGGAACTGATTTGCTCGGGAACCTACTTTTTGTAGATCTACCGTAGAAGCACCTCAGTGATTTATGAAGACCTTGACTGAGTGATCCCTGGTATGGTTCACCAGGACTTGAACAATTGCTGTCGATTACTGTACTCAGGAGATAACTCCAACTTCTTGGGACACCAACTTAGGAGCAAGGACGCTACGTTCGCGGCTCCTGGCCGTACTGATAGTCGCTCGGCTCACCGGGCTGAAGTTGCACCAACGGGGGGCTTCTTCGTGCTCGGTCCGGTCCTGGTGGGCCGGTCCCGGTCCGTTCAGCGCTGAGCGGCCCTTTGTTTGGGGGGTGGTTTGGTCTGAGTGACCAAGGAGCAATGGAGAATCGAGTTTTCTTCGGTTCTTGGAGTTTCTCGGTGCGGAGTTTCTCACTCGGTGTGGACCCGCGACAGTCGAGGTGTTCAGGTGTAGCCTCATCTAGCCTCTAAGTAGAGCAAGAATGACAGCGACATCTACCACTATACGATACGATACGTACAACATGGTAAAGTACCCCTAATAAAGAGCATCCTTGCACGTGCTTTTTGTTCACGTTTGTTCATGGTGAGCTGGGTGTCCATGAACCGCTTTGACAGTGGAAGTGGTGGACTCTTGTAGAGGGCCGATGGCCTCAACCTTTTCATACTCCAACCTTTGCAACGCTGTTGTGGCCACAGGAAACACCAGTGGGCTGAGAATGGCATGACATCTAGGATTGAGAGGCAAGATTGGCCTCAGCAGCACTAAGGGAAAGACTTGAGCAGCTTTCGCGATGGATTTGCTCAAAGCCTGTATGACTTCTTTCCTGATATCATGAAATCAGCTCCATCCAACAAAAAGAGGGCCAATGTTATATCATGGATCTTTTTCACTGTGCAGATCCCACTCTTCCAACACCAAGGACCCTAAGCTTTTCCCCCCAAAAAAACCTAATCATTACTCACCAACTCTTCCAGTTTCCTCGGTTTTTCTGCAGCATGGAGCATTGCATGATTCCCGGCTGTGCCGCCTACGCCAACGCAGGTGGGTCGGCTGGACTTGAGAGATTTTCCGGTCGCGAAGGGTGTTCCGCACTTTGTGAAACTTTATCGCCTTGTGGCCTTGTGGTGGCTTGGTTGCTCGTTTTTGCTTCACATCACCCAACCTGACCAGAACTGTATATTTTTTTGCGGTGCAGCTTTGAGCAGGTTCAGAGATTCAAGAGCTGAGCTGGCCAGAACTGAGACACCCCTCAACTACTGTAATTACCTGGTGGATCCTTGGTCTCGAGCCAAGCGGGGCGAGTCGCTTGCGCCGATGTCGACCGATCGCTTTGGAAGCCTTCGGGTGGGCTGGTTCAAGAGGCAGGTGCATCCCAGTCACGCTTGGGGCGGTTTCCGAAAGTTTCGTTTGTTGATCGGTGGGATTTAAAGAACATAGCAAGTCAAGAGACCTTAAAATTGTCTCCACCAGAGGTGGCTTTATTCTAGAAACCGCCAATCTTGAAAAAAGGCAAGAAAACAAGCAAAACAAGTGCAAACCAAAAAAGCACAAGCAAAACAAAGAGCAACCAAGAAAGCAAAAAAAGCACGCACTTAAAGCACTCTTTAACGTGGTCCAACCAAAAGGTCAATAGAGGCAATGCTACTACCGACACTACTAGTCCCTGGGCCTCTGCAGACTAACTGCAGATTCAGAATTCAACGCGTTGGAGCCCAGCTTGGCGAGGGGGCCGGGTAGGGTGAGGAAGACAAGGGTCTTTCATCCCCGAGGCCCAGCTGACTGGTTTTCTGGCGCCGGGTCAAGTGTCGCACTGTTTATCGCTGATTTTCGCCATGTTTTTCGCTTTTCTGCACAAAGAAAGTGGACAAAAAAAAAGAGCGACCAAAAGTGCACCAGAAAGTGGACCCTTCCAAAAAGTGCGCCAGAAAGCGGACCATTCCAAAAAGTGCGTAGAAACCTCAGGGACCATGTAGATGTCAGCCGCCCCACAGCTTTTTTGGAGGGGTGTACAGTTAGTCACCCAGTCGCTCGCAGGTACAGTAGCAGTAGCAGTAATTGTGTTCTTTCTTGGCTTGCTTTGTAAGTAACTACCAGGTAACTTCTTTTGTGAACTGGTTATCACGCTGTTTGTTGCAAGGGTATTTTCTTGTTTGTTACAAACATGCTGTGTTGTTCCATTTTTGCTTGCAATGTTGTTTGCTTTGTTGTTGCTTTCATGATTCTGTTTGTTTTTTTCTAGCTGCATTTTGGCATTGTTTATTTTGCTCTTTTCTTGCTTTTATGATTACTATTGATTTCTGGTTGCATTTTGTGATTGTGTTTTGCTTTTGTGTTGTTGTTTTTTCAAGATGATCAACTTCTAGAATCTAGAATACAGGGGTCTGGCAGACATAACCTTAAAATAGAAGCCTTCCCCGACTTACTGTCAAAACTTAGTAACTGGGTTTGCTGGATAGTCATGGACTGTTTTTTTGTTTCCAGTTGTTTTCACATGTGGACTGCCCATTGCGCGCCGGGAAACAAAACGTTGTGGTCCTCTATCGTTTGTTTGCGTTTGCAAAGCAACGTGCAGGTCTTCGAATGTATGACGAGGAGCAGGAGCAACATGTTCGACGTCCGACGCAAAACACATGCAACGTCCAGTGGCCCATCGTTTCACAGTCGGTCTGCGCACGTCTTCGTGGCATGGGATGGACAGTTGGACAGTGGCACTTAGAGTGGCACGGCGGGTCCAGGAGATCGAAGCGCACACCTCGGAGGTGCCCAACGAGCGGCCCTCCCAGGCGGTGCGCGTCTTTCGTCCAATGGGGAGCGAGGTGCCAAGAGAGGAAGAAGGAGTTCTTTGAAGTTCTTTGAAGGGTCGACCTGAAGGCACAAGAAGAAAAGAAGAAAAGAAGAAAGACTTATAAGATTGATTTATCATATGGAGCTTTATAGGTGTTGTTTTGTTGTCTCGAAATGTCCTGTGCTAGGCCTTGGTGTTGCCCAGAACCTTACCCAAGGCGACCGTGGGCGCATCTCGCGGTTTTGAGGCATAAATATGGTCGGGGAGTGGTCTCTCAGTGCTGCAAAGCACTCTATTTGGGAGGTTTTGAAGTGTTGGAATTAGTCGTTTATGCACCAGTTTCTTGACTTTGGTGGAGCTAGAAGAGTTTATTTGCATCTTGAAGAACCACTAAAAGGAGAACCTCCACAAACCATGATGAGACAAAGGCCTGTTTTGCAAATGTCTCATCTCCTGTTCGCCTTGATGAGATCTTCAATCTTCGAGCGGCCGTCCAGTCTGCTTTGGACTCAAAATCCTTGCTCCTAGTAGCGATGCCCTTCGTTCCTAGTAGCTTCTTGTTCCGGGTTTCTTGAACAAAACAAAAAGTAAATTCCTGTTGTATCCGGACAACTCGCTTTCTGCCGCTTCTTTTGAGGAGCGCTTGGAGCTCCCAGAGACCCATGCATCCAGGCCAGGCCTGGCAGAGAAGTATGTGTTAATTTCGATCATTTCAAGTGTGTGTGTGTGTGTGCTTTCTATTGAAAAGTATCTGGGAAGTTGTGCTGGATGTTTCTGTTCTTCACAACTGCACTTGTTTGGCCCATCGTTCCAGCGATCAAGTTTCATTTGGAATGTTTTTGTTTGGAGTGTTTGAAGGTGACCTGGCAACACAGTGTCGATCCGTCGATGGTATAATAAACTGTGGGCGGTTAGCGGCGGTTGACTCAGGGCCTAAAAAGGCGTTCCTTTGTCCAGTCTCCCCCTGTTTCACACAGAGCGCATGGGAATGGGCCGAATGGGTGAACACGAGCTCCAGCGGCTCCAGCGCCAGGTCGAACCGTATCGCTAGGCCAACCCTAGTCTCCTGGTGACCCACAGCCGTCTCTCCCACATGGTGTGCACTGCATGACGGCGGGGTCTGACCACCGAGACCCAGGTCGGCCTTCTCGCGCAGGCGCTGGTCGTCGGTTGAAACACGACCGATCCCACCTGAAAAAGGGGTGTCCTGGCTGGAGGTCCCTGATTGTAGTGTAGGGGGGTTCCAGCCAGGTGACCCCGACATGAAGGTGCTGGTCTGTCTCTTTTGGGAGGAAGTGTGTCAGTTCTTTTGGTTCCTACGGATCCGCGAAAGCAACGCGAAAAGGTGGAGCAGTGAACCGAGAAGCCGATTCCTGCAAGTGTTTTTTGGTCCACACTGATTTTGCCATCCATAGTATAAAGATTTAAGGGGCCCTCCCTGAGACCTGTTTGGAATCCACACCGGTTGCATGGTGTTTCGACTTGAACTCGATTAAGACCATGTCAGGTCATGTGATTCGTTTGTTTCAATGTGGCATGTGGCCGGTATTGATGAGACTTTGGTAGACTTGGCGCCCTTTCTTGTGATGGAGAGAGCGACCGGAGCCAGGAAGGCGACCAACATGGCATTTTGCATTGGGGTGTCTTATTTTAAATCTGTCCATCCTGGTGCAGGATTTGTTCAACGAGTGCCGAAGCACACCAATTCTAGAACGCAGTGTTTCCCAGGGTTCTGGAACATTTCTGAGCACTGCCATGGATCACCAGTTGCGATGAACCCATATTTTGGATGGAAAGGCAGGATGCCCGTGCAAAGGTTAACAGGACTGGACGGGGCAACACCCAAGAATCCTTTTGATGGTGGCCAAGTCGCCATGTCACTGTTCTCCCTTTTGGCAAGTCCTCCATATGTAGGTGCTGACACGCATGCTCATGGGGACAAACCAGTTGTGTTGGATGGAATGGGGAAACAAACAATTGGCCTTTTGTGTGGCTCTAGGCCCTAGGCTGGTCACTGGATAGTATGGTTTGCTTGGTGGCAAGACAGTGCTTGAAGGAACATAGCTATTTGTATTCTATTTTTGTTTGAACGGCCTTGCCTAATTCTCGCCAAGGCACAGTGCGCGCACGTTGCATGTTGAGCCATTGAAGGTTCGAACACATGACAACAGCTCATGATTCACTATTTTTTGCAAGCAGAATCCCTCACTCAGCACTGTGTAATCCAAGTTAAAGCACCCACTCTTTGTTGCCACAGACCAGCGGTCCAGCTTATTGCAAGTGCAACGATGACACACATACACGCAGCGGCCAGAACTCCCCCAACCTCCTAAGCCTAAGCAAGATTGGCAATGAACAGGCTGCTGATGTGTTGAATCTCGGAAACACTACGGTCACCCTCAATCCAAACGCTTTGGCAGTGCGTTAATCTCCGAACACCTTTGGCTGAAGCCGCTGGAATTCGTCATGTTGCATGTCTTGATCGCGCTTGGCCCTTGATCATCGCTCGGGCAGATCCATTGCACTTTGCCTCCTTGGTAGGAGTACGTAGAAGCACAAGTAGGTGGTTTTTGGTTTCCAGAACGTTGGAAACAGGACTCTGGATGAGGCCGCTTTACTTCTCCAAGGACACGGTCCCCTGGTTCTCCATCCTTTGATCCTTTGGTCTGAGGCGGCTGGGAGGTTGTGCCGAAAAAAAACACTAACGGGTGGAGTTCCCAGACCCAAGCAGGGCGTGTAGCTCAAATAAGAAAAAGCTTCCCGAAGCCCCTCTGGAAGAAGCGAGATATAACCAAAACCATCCAAAACCCATTGGCCCGTTGCCTGGGGGATTTCAAACAGCTAAAGATAGCCCTGCCTGGCCTGTGCCTCTTCCAGCTTGGGAACTTCCAGCTTCTTCGAAAGCTTCTTCACCTGCCGTGCTGCGGCGGGTCGACGGAGGTCCTGGGTGGTCCCGTCACTGGGACTGAGCATCGTCGATGCGCCTTGGGAGGCGACGAAGAGGGACCATCCCGGGGGCACTGTCCTGGGGGCACGGTCCCGGGGACCGAGGAGAGCGGGTTTTGAGCGGAGGAAAAAAGTGTTCATGAACATACCGAAATCCTAAACCTTTCATCAACATGTGCGGAGATCCAGAATGTAGGGGCTTCCAGGAAGGTGACCCGGAAAGGAAGGTGTTGCGAAAGCTGTTTTGACACGAGACTGCGTAGGTCCAAGTACGAACGGCCAGAACGAGATCGAAGTGGACGTGGGGGGATTTAAACTATTCGATGTTGCAGAAATCGCTATGCCGCGCCATGCTGTTCCACTTTTTGATTGTTCAATCAACTCTCGACAAGCTCTTGCGTGCATGGACTGGAAGGTTTAGAACAGAATCGTCGATGCAAAAATTCTACTTTGTGAACGCGAGGTCAATCAAGAAAGTAATTGACATTATTCTTGTTCAAGACATTGTTGTAGGTCAAGGAACACAGCTGCTTAAGAAACATCGGAGTCTAGGGCGTACAGCACTTTCGGACCCATAGCAGATAAAGAGCTTCTTTTGTTGCAGTGTACAGTGCTCTCCAACGATGAGAGCATGGTTCATGTATCTCTCGATGCATGTCATTGTGTTGTTGATTGTGTATCGGTTTGGTTTGGTTTTGCTTTCTTTTGTGTGAGGAATCAAGCTTCTACCGACCTTTTCCTTTTCTGCGTTGCTTGTTTCACACACACGTCCAGGCTCGGCGGAGCAACATCCTCCGGGTCACAGGCGGCGCCGTCCTCGTCGTTTGGGTCCGGTCGGACCACCCATGGGGGACAACTCACAGTCATGAACCTGGATTGAATATTTTTCAATATGAGCGGTTTTGGGGGGGAAAGGAGTGAGGGTCAGGTGTGTTGAAAGTGACGACATTTGCATGGGGAGGGGAAAAAGGAATGAAAAGCATGCCGGGAGTTCCAGTGGTGTTTTTTTTCGCCTTTGGGTCTTCCGTTCTGTGTTTTTTTTGTTGCATCCAGGGTATTTATGCACAAACCTTTTTCTAACTCCTGTGGCTTTTCTTCCTGGTAGTATGCACTTGTTGCTATGTATTTTTACCGCAAGGCGGTCAACAAACAGCACCAGGGGTTTGTCGCTTGTTTGATGATCAAACATGAGATCTCCAAGGAATCCTTTCCCGAAGCGATGAGAGCATGATGGGCCAGTTCCGACAGAAGAATGGAACCACTCTATTAGAGAATACTCGAATTCTTCGGCCTCCACAAAAGTCAATCCGTTGCAGTATGGTCAGAACTCACCATCCAATATGATCCATTCATAATCCATCACCGGCCATTTCAAACGCGAAGAGGTTACCATTTGGCACCATGGAAGACGAAAGAACCACCAGACACCTGGAACAGATCCTGCACCCCGCCACTGATGAAATGGATTTGTTTGCGGATGATCATTTTACGCCAACCCGCGATTTTCAGCAGCTCCCTCCAAGGATTGGCTGATTGGCTTCTGAAACACATCTAACTTATACGACCGTGGTGACCTGTTGGAGGGTGCTGGTATGAAATGGTATGAGAAGATGTTTTTCGATCCATCTACCTCGGAGATTCATGAACACAGCCGCGATCTTGAGGCCAGCCATGTGACGAGTGCTCCTCCATGGAAGACTTCTACAAGGTCAGTGGGCGCGCCGCGGTGCGCCACAAAGCCAGCTGCGCAACCTGTGTAGACATCAATGGACGACATCAAATTCCCTCCAACGGACGCATGGAAGTGGACGCGATCCCCTGTTTTATTGAGGAAAATGGTCAAAAAACCCGGGGGCGATGTTCCACTTCCATGATTGAATCCAGTGAGGGTCGAAGACGTTTGTCAATGATGCAGTTTTGGTGTCAACTTATCATAAGGTGTCAAGCTGTGTTTTTTCCAAGTCGGTCAAGTGTCAATTCAATTCAGAAGGATCGACTTGTTCCGCTGTTATATCTTATAATAATCCTTCTTCCAGCATGTGGGACAACCGGAGATGTTTGATCAGTGTTTCGGCAGAACTTTATAAGATCGATATTATATATATATATACTCAGTGGATCCACATACCCCTTGAGAAGGTGATTGGACACTCTTTCATGTATTCTTGAAGGGTCCAGTCCAAGTACCTACCTTCTGAGGTCTGTGGATCCTAAAGGGGATATTGATGAACCACGAACGTCTCCTTCGCTGAGAAGGTATGTGGATCGTTTAGTTCACATCATGAGACTGGCATGAGACGACCTTTCCCAGTTGGGGTGGCAGCTGACGAGGGTCAGCTTGCACGCCTTTCCCCGTCGGAGGCCAAAGTTTCGGCCTGCCAGAGGGGTTGTACATGTCATTCAGCGAGTTCTTGGGTATGTTGCTACAGAGGCTCTACTTGAGGATCACTTGAAACCTGCCTGAGAACCCTGAAAGGTGCTGGTTCTTGAGACGGTGTTCTAAAAGTACTCCTCATGCTGAGAAGATCCCTTCAGTTCGTCATGCAAATTCAAACCACGCGGCGGCACGGCACAAGCCCACTTTCCCACAACGCCCATGTTTGTCCTGGTTCTCCCCACCGGCCTCCATATGCCTGGCCATCCCAAGGATTCCATGTGCTGGTGAAGATGTACGGTATGGCAAGACCATAGCTTATTTAGAAACAGCAGTAGTTCAGATATTCCACCATGAGCCACACGTAGCCACATTCACACTGGATGAATCATTCGTTGCTAGACCAATCCTTACCTGCCCAAGTTGACTGCAGACATCTGAGTTTTGCTGTGATCATTGTTTTCCTCATGTGATCTGATCGAAGGACAATGAGCTGGTCTTCCTCTTGTTCTACCAGCGAGATTTGGTGTCCCACCATGCTTACAAGGCCGTTGTTCCACCACCAGGTCGTTGTTCCATGAGTTGGCACGATGGGGCAGATGTTCCAGGAAAGTTGGGCCACTGAGAGGATGGTCCTACTCGTTTCAGAGATGGTCCTAGGATTTGCCATTGCAGCAATTAGTTATATAAGTCATTTCGATCAGTTGGACAAACAAGACTCGTGTTTTCCCGAATGCGTAGCGAAGGGTTCTCGTTTAACTCTTGGGGGTCTGGGTGTGGAGCCTTGTTCGTGAGCCGTTGTTTCTACGTCCGCAACCGTTCGCAACCGTCCGCAACCGTTCGCGGTAGAGCGCTAAGGCGCTGCCATTGGGGGAAGCTTTTGCAAGTGACTTTTCATGGATGTGTCACGTGTCCGCTATTCCATTGTGATTTGCATGAAAAAGACATGTCGCGCAAGCAACGTGATGCGTTTCGCTGCACAGGCGCAGCGTTTGGTGAGATCTGCAGATTGCTGCGCAGTTCCATTGGGATTAGCGTTTGGAGAGTCGTGTTTTTGGGGTGTTGGATGTGGCCGTGCCATTGGGATTTGCGCTTCAGGGTGTGGCATCGAAGCTCTGTTTTCGTGACAAGTCTCAGCTGAAATGCCGATTTTGGTGGATGGGAGTGTGCTCAGAACGGGTCGAAATCATTCCAAACGTGTGGTGTGGTGCAAATTTTGTTGAAGCTCACATGAGATGACATTGTTACTTTTCGTGGCAGGCGCAGGACTTTGTGCGGGCTTTGAGGTGTGGAAGTGGGATTTTCGTGGCAGGCGCAGGGAATCGTGAGGTTGCGATGTGTGACGGAGGTGACATTTCGTGGCAGGCGCAGGCGTTTGTGAGTTGTGGTAGAGGTGAATGTCGCTGTCACATTGGGATTGGCGTGTGAGCGGGTGTCGTTCGGAGGGGCTGGAATCGCGAAACTGCTTGGCAGGGCTGCGTGATGTGTGTGCTCCGATGGGTGTTTCCGCTGGAGTTTTGGAGGTAGTCTCGTGCGAAACGTTCGTTTTGCAGACTTTGACATGTGAGTTTTTGAGGAAGTCTCGTACGAAACGCTCGTTTTGGGGACTTGACATGTGACGTTTGGAGGAAGTCTCGTACGAAACGCTCGTTTTGGAGACTTGACGTGTGACTTTTGGATGAAGTCTCGTACGAAACGCTCGTTTTTGAGACTTGACGCGTGACTTTTGGAGGAAGTCTCGTACGAAACGCTCGTCTTGCAGCCTCGCAGCGTGACTTTTGGAGGAAGTCTCGTACGAAGAGTGTACCCTACAGGAGTGTCCCACAAGAGTGTCCTACAAGAGTGTCCCACAAGAGTGTCCTACAAGAGTATCCCACAAGAGTTTCCTACAAGAGTGTCCCACAAGAGTGTCCCACAAGAGTCTCCTGGAGTGTCCCACAAGAGTGTCCCACAAGAGTACAAGAGTGTCCCACAAGAGTGTCCTGCATGTCCCACAAGAGTGCCCCGTATGAGTGTCCCACAAGAGTGTCCCACAAGAGTGTCCCACAAGTGTGTCCCACAAGAGTGTCCGACAAGAGTGTCCCATAAGAGTGACCCACGAGAGTGTCCTACAAGAGTGTCCCACAAGAGTGTCCCACAAGAGTGTCCCACAAGAGTGTCCCACAAGAGTGCCCTACAAGAGTGTCCCACAAGAGTGTCCTACAAGA